TTTTTTTTTTTTTTGAGACAGAGTTTCACTCTGTTGCCCAGGCTGGAGTGCAGTACCGCGATCCTGACTCACTGCAACCTCCGTCTCCTGGGTTGAAGCGATTCTCCTACCTCAGCCTCCCGAGTAGCTGGGATTATACCCAGCTAATTTTTGCATTTTTAGTAGAGACGGGGTTTCACCACGTTGGCCAGATTGGTCTCGAACTCCAGACCTCAGGGGATCCGCCCGCCTCTGCCTTCCAAAGTGCTGGGATTACAGGAGTGAGCCACCGCGCCCAGCCCCGGGCAATTCCTTTTGAAAGAGCTTTTTAACTTTTTATGATGAGGTCAATTTCTTTTTGTTGTTGTTGTTTTTTCAGAACTTATTTGCTTTTCTACTATGCCCAGTTGTGGTAACTGACTTTGCTCTTATGTTCTAGGTATTACTCTGGAGACAAAAAAGCCCCAGTTCTCACGCTCTTCATTGGGGGAAACCATGAAGCCTCAAATCATTTGCAAGAGTTACCCTATGGTGGCTGGGTGGCACCAAACATTTATTATTTAGGTATGTGATTGTGTCTGTGGATAGTTTTTTTTCCTGGGATGGAAGAGTCTATCAGGATTTGCGCTAGTTGGGCTGTGTCTTGACAGGTATGGTGTTTGGAGAATGTCATTAATTTAAATAGTTAATCATGAAAATTTAATTAAGATAGTTAATTATTAAATGGTTGATCATGATAATATGCCCTTCATCTAGTGTTTTAAGCACTAGCTAATATAATTGAAAGACCTCACACACTATTTGTAATCGCTTCATTTTTTCTTACAATTTTTATTGAATTAAAAAAAGACCTTAAACTTTTATTAATAGAAATTCTTAAGCATACACAAAAGTAGAGTATAGCATGATGAATCTCAGTACCTGTTACCCAGCTTCAACGACTATTATATTGAAGTCTCCTGTTTTTTTTTTTTTTTTTGTGGGAAGAGATGACTAGAGTATTTAAAGCAAATCCAACTGTTAGATTATTTCACTTATACATATTTCAGTACATGTTTGTAAGTGATGAGGATCTTTAAAAATACTACTACAGTACTGTTATTATACTTAACTGAAGTACTCATTATCTATTGCCATGTTCATGGTCAGATTTCCCTACTTAACCTAGGGATGTCTGCTTTACAATTGGTTTAAATAGGACCCAGACAAGGCCAGCCCATTTCATTTGGTTGTCACGACTCTGAAGTCTATTAGACTATAATAATCTCCCTGTCTCTCTTTTTCATGCCATTTACTTGCTGAAGAAAACACGAAATTTGTCCTGTGGCATTTTCTGCATTCAGGGTTTAGCTGATTGGATTCCTTTTATCCTCTGCATTTCCTATAATCTGCTTTTAGATTGACAGATTTGATTAGATTGTTTCAATATTAGTCCCTATAAACTATATAGCCTTTTCATCCCTTTATTTTTCGAGACAAGGTCTGGTTCTGTTGCCCTGGCTGGAGTGCAGTGGCTCCATCTTAGCTCATTCATCTCAGCCTCTGGCCTTCCAGGCTCAAGCCATCCTCCCACCACAGCCTCCCAAGTAGCTGTGACTTCAAGCGTGTACCACCATGCCTGGCTAATTTTTTTGTTTTTTTGTATTGTTTTGTGGAGACTGAGTTTGGCCATGTTTTCCACGCTGGTCTCGAACTCATAAGCTCAAAGTGATCCGCCCACCTGGGCCTCCAAAGTGGTGAGATTACAGGGATGAGCCATCCCACCTAGCTTCATCCCTTTATTTAAATGTATATTCTTTCTAGAACTGTTTATAGGTTTTACCAATGATGAGATTGTAATTTCAGAAATTTAGTTTCCCTACTTTGCTACTTATTGATCATCTTTTGATGTATTCGTTCTATATTACAATATTGTGAAAAAGTGAAATTGTCAGAAGATGATCAATCAGAAATGAAACTAGAAGCTGCAGGTTCTTTATACCTTACCTGTTGATTTTCAGGTTTATACATGTAAGTCCATCATAGGACATTTTCCGCCTCCCACTACCTCCCCCGTGTATTCAGTTAGTTACCAAATTATGTCTGTTTCACTTTCAGCACCCTATCTCATTTGTCCCTTCCGCAATCTACTTAATGTTTTGGCTCATCTAATTCCAGACCTTGCCTTTATATACTTTTATAATATATCCCTAATACACTGTTGGCATATTATTATGTAAAAAGGGTAACCTCATCATGGTGCTTAATTTTCAAATAATTTTAGAACTGTGTGGAATTCCATCTAAATGGAATGGTTTATTCAGTCAGTGTAAAGAGATTCCTTTTACCTACAGTAATTTTATTTAACTGTACTGTTTAGGTTTGGCTGGTGTGGTAAAATACCGAGGTGTAAGGATCGGTGGAATCTCTGGTATCTTTAAATCTCATGACTATCGGAAAGGTATTGTTTTGAGAATTATTTTTAAACTTTAGAACTCGCATGCCCCAGAGTAACTTAAGCATAATATATACTTTGACTCTTTCATATATCTTTGTATCCTTGATCTAGTTTTATCAAGTCTTAGTATTTTGCTAGTTTTTATTTTTATTTTTAAGAAATAAAACAGTATAGATACAATTAAAGTTCATTGTTTATCTGTCCTCAATCTCATTCCCTTCTTTTCTTCCCTCCCTCTCTTTGCCAGGCAGTCACTATGTTGAATTTGGTGATTATAATTTACTTGATTATTTTACATCATTACCACATGTATAAGAGCTTTAAACAATGTACTTGTTTTAAGCTTCATATAAATGTATCATATTGCTTGTATCTTTCTCCAACTTGCTTCTTTGTTTAACATGTTTTGAAATCCGTGTTGATACATGTAATCTAATCTGTTCATCTGTAAATAATATTCCATTATATAAGTATATCACAACTGCCTATTCATTTCATTGTGTTTGAATGAATTATACCTTGATTTCAAAATTAAAGGAATAGCTTGGATTCACATCAATTTCACAAATTTCATGAATTAAGTTGGCAGCTAAAACTTACATCCTGAATGTAACTGTTACAAGTCTGTTCCCTGCCGCTTGGCTCTTTCTTATTCTAAACTGTTGAAATGGAGGTACAAAATAGGCTGTCTTCTCTGTGGCAGGTGTGAGTACAAATTGGAACCACTCTTGGGAAGATGTTTATCAGTTTTTTCTGTTTTATCTCAGGGATATCATTTATGCATGTAATACACATATTTCTTTTTTGGCTTAAAACAACAATAATTTGTTATTTTATTAATATTGGGCGTAAGGAACTAGTCTCCAGTCAACATTTAGAAAGTAACCGAAGTGTGCCAGCAACCATGTGTGGGACCTTAGAAAGCACATACACCCTTAGTTGAGCCCGCACAGGAGACTGCAGTCCACCATCTTTTAAAAAAATTTCCCTAGATGACTTTTTAAAATCATATATACTGAAGGTGTACATGATATTTTGGAAACTTGTGTATATGTCTTTGTATTTGCAGTGTTTAAGGAAATTGAATGTAGCTTATTTTTCTTCTTCAATCTAAGGTCATTTTGAGTGCCCCCCTTATAATTCATCTACAATCAGGAGTATATATCATGTGAGAAATATTGAAGTCTATAAATTAAAACAGGTATGTAAAAAGTGCATTACAGCAGACTTGAAAAAATTTTGAAGTAATTCTGTACCAAAATGTATTTTGGTCATATTGGTATGCTACTTTCAAGAAGAGCAATTCAGTATTTTTTAAATGTGGATCTTGAGTTGTTTTTAGGAGTTTCACGATGAACATTTTGTTTTTCTTTTTTTGAGACAGAATATCACTGTGTCGCCCAGGCTGAAGTGCAGTGGCGTGATCTCAGCTCACTGCAACCTCCGCCTCCTGGGTTCAAGAGAGTCTTGTGCCTCAACCTTCTGAGTAACTGGAACTATGGGCGCCCACCACCACACCTGCCTAATTTTTTGTATTTTTAGTAGAGGTGGGGTTTCACCATGTTGGCCAGGCTGGTCTCGAACTCCTGACCTCAGGTGATCTGCCTGCCTCAGCCTCCCAAAGTGCTGGGATTACAGGTATGAGCCACCGTGCCCAGCAAATTTTTTTTTACTTCAATAATTACGAGTTTATTTTAGTAAGAATGAAACATTTAATTCATGATTTCAAATATTACTTAGGGTAAGGCTAAAGAATACCTATTAAAATAAAATTATATTTAAAAGAAAATATTAAAGTGATATTTTAAAGAAAATATTAAAATAAACATTTTATGTAATAGTAATTAAGTAATGGTATTAAATAGAAAATAAGTAATAGTAAAGATGATAGAGGAAATGGGAAAATTGTGAAGGTGGTATGGAAACACTACTTAATTGCAGAGTAGGTGAGACTAGGTTTTCGTTTGAGAACCCATTACATGGCTGACACTGGGCCAAGCAGACTTCACACTTGGTATTTCATATAATCTCCACTCAAATCCTATGAGATAGATCTTACTCTTAACTTCATTCCTTTACGGATGAGAAACCAAGGCTCCGACAGGTAAGTAACCTGCCCAGGACTTCCCAAAGTTTAGTGGTAGAGCCTGCCTGACTGCACTCATGCCCATCACACTGTCTGTAGAGCCTCTGCAGGAGCCTAATGATGCTTGCAAGTGTTTCTTTTATGCTCTGTGCATACAGTTCCCTCAAATAGATTTTCTTTTTCACCTATCTAAATCCTACCAGTCCTTTAAGACCCAACTTAGATGCCATTTCCCAACCATGACTTTTCTTCTTTTTTTTGAGACAAGGTCTCACTCTGTCACCCAGGCTGGAGTGCAGTGGTATGATCATGGCTTGGCTCACTGCAGCCTCAATCTGCCAGGCTTGGGTGATCCTCCCACTTCAGCCTCCCGAGTAGCTTGGACTACAGGCATGCATCACCTCGCCCAGCTAATTTTTTTCGTATTTTTTTACAGAGTTTCGCCATGTTGTCCAGGCTCGTCTCAAACTCCTAAACTCAAGCGATCCTCCTGCCTTGGCCTCCAAAGTGCTGGGATTACAGGCATGAGCCACCATGCCCAGCCAACCATGACTTTTCTAGTTTAGAGTCGTAACCCTAGTCTGAATTTTTGTTGCATCTATTGGCCATACCAGTTATTCAGTGGTTAGTCATATCTAATATTTTGTATTGTCTTGAGCAGTTACTTAAGTTTTTTTTTTTTTTTTT